TGCCAAGATATCTCTTCTAAGTCTTGCAACAGTATCCGGTCATGTGCCCTCTTTCGATGACGAGGAACCCACTTTGAGACTAATAATGGTTGGAGACAGCTTGAATGGGTAATGAAGAAAACTTTACCCATTCAAGCCGTCTCCAACCATTATTATGTGACCTCTTTGTTCCATACTATATATATATATCTGTGTCAGTGTAAACTACTTGTACCTGATGATGATGACAAAACCTTATCGAAACGTTGCACATTTGCTGTTATGTTAAACTTATATTAAAGATTTTCTTCACTATCCATTCAAGCCGTCTCCAAGCATTATATAATACTTAGTTGCCATTTTATTTTTAGCCTTTGTAATAAATTCCAAGACGTTAAACCAAGACGCCTAACGTTGTCGTTTGGTCATTACTACTACTGCTAGTAAATAGTATTTCAGTAGTGGTAACGGTACTGTTAGTTGTGAAAAGAAAAATCTTTTACATTTCATAATGGGTTTAGAAAAAATACTTCGTGGCATTATGAAGTATCGTAAAAGCTCATGTCACTCTAAAATGCTAGAAAAATATCAGCATATTAAAGAAATGTATAATTCATCCCCACGTGTAAGTTCTGGTTTTTAAATTATAGTCACTAACTTTGATGTTACTGTTTCTGTAGTGTTAATGTTACTATTAGGCGTAGCTGTGGTTCAAAACATAGGCTCTAAATTGATTTTAACAGTTTAAGTTTTTATGTATCTAGTTAAGGTAATTGAAAATGTTATCAAACTTTGAAAGCAGATTTTGAGTCACTATTTTTGGGCTACTGTAAATTGTGTAGTAACACTAATATTATTAATAATCCCAACTTTAGCGACAGTAACTTAACCCGCTTCGATTTTGAAGTTCGGGAATGTTATTGTTATAAACATAGCAGATTTTTTAATTAAACTTTTTAACACGAGTATTCACTTATTACATCCTTTTTTTCATTTAAAGCCTTTTCGCGTTATATCGGATTTATCAGAAATACACTGTTAATAATAAAGCATAGGCATATGGTTTGTAATGGTAATTCTACTGATAGATTAATATTTACTTTGTTAATATAGAGCTTCTTTAGGAAAGTTGAATTTGATTACAAATTTATTTTCCATATTCACAATTTATAGAAAACACAATGAGAAATGTAATGTGTGTATATGTATATATATATACATCAAAAACATATTCACAGGTGTAAACTTGTATGTGTATTGGTTATATATGTATATATAATGTGTGTGTGTGTAAATATAGATATAACAAACCATGATGAAACTTTGTAGAATGGGTGGCAACTGTCTGTTGTAGAGATACAAATGTAGAGGACTACATTTTGAAAATCTTCCGCCTTTCATCTTCAGGTTAGTGTGTGTGTAAGGTGTTGTTGGTCTTATAGTATTCTGGTGGATTGTGGAGAGCGTGTTATGATTGGTTAGTTTAACCCTGCTTCTGATTAGAGGAGAGATTTCCTGTAGGTTCAACCAATGGTAGCTACAGGTTACTTACCTGTAATAGGAATCTCTGTTTAGTGAAGGTTTAATTGTGTTGATGTAAAATTATTCTTTAATTAATTAAACAGAATGGTTACACCTCCTCCTCCATCAAAAACTTCCCGAAGAAGACCACAACAGAAAGAAAAGATCAGAAAAACACTACCACTACTACCATTTACCTCCCCTACCTGCAAAATTTCAGTGAAAACCTCAAATGCATAGCCAAGAAATTCAACATTGAAATCTGGTGGAAATCCTACAAGACATTAAGGTCCATTCTGGTAAAAAACAAACAGCAACCTACCAATGAGAAACAGAAAAACGTCATTTATGAATTTCCGTGTTCCTGCAACAAAACATACATTGGGGAAACTGGAAGAAGACTCGTGACAAGAATAAAAGAACAAAAAGACAGTACAAGACTCATGAAAACACAAAATTCAGCCATTGTCGAATGCACCATGTCAACTGAACATGAAATAAACTGGGAAAAAAACTAGAATCATTGACATAGACAAATTTTGGAAGACAAAAAAAATTAAAGAATCATTTTATATTAACACAATTAAACCTTTACTAAAGAGATATTCAGGATTAGAGGTGAATAACCTGTGGCTACCATTGGTTGAATCTACAGGAAATCTCTCCTCCAATCAGAAATACGATACCCTCTGACAGCATCCAATCTACTTATATACTTGGTATGTCTGGTGGATTATCACTGCTGCCTTGATGACCTTTTGATACATTGATGACATATTATCATGGCCTTGCTCATCATAAAATATTACTCATCATTCCAGAAGCTTCTTGTTCATTCCCAGACCATATGTGACTGAAGAGGTGCTTCCTGTTCACCATTTTACTTTCTGGTACCATGTTGATAAACATACCCCTTCCAGTCATCTAGCACAGTGCTAAGTTTGGACAAAAATCAATAGGTTTTATGATCATGTTCATCATTTTACTTGCTGGTACCATGTTGATAAACCTACCCCTTCCAGTCATCTAGCACAATGCTAAGTTTGGACAAAAATCAATAGGTTTTATGACCATGTTCATTATTTTACTTTCTGGTACCATGTTGATAAACATACCTCTTCCAGTCATCTAGCACAGTGCTAAGTTTGGACAAAAATCAATAGGCTTTATGATCATGTTCATCATTTTACTTCCTGGCACCAGGTTGATAAACATACCCCTTCTGGTCATCTAGCACATTGCAAAAAGCACTATGTTTCATGATAATCAGTTGTAACATTACCTACACACTTTTAAGTTATCATAACCTCTTACTCAAAATATACAAATGCTTCTGGCTTGGGATTGGATAGCCATGCCACAGAACTGTGACATGCCTGTACTGGTGGTGGGTTAGGAATGAATAGCTGTGACATGCCTGTACTGGTGGTGGGTTAGGAATGGATAGCTGTGACATACCTGTACTGGTTGTGGGTTAGGAATGGATAGCTGTGACATGCCTGTACCGGTTGTGGATTAGGAATGGATAGCTGTGACATACCTATGCTGGTTGTGGGTTAGGAATGGATAGCTGTGACATACCTGTACTTGTTGTGGGTTAGGAATGGATAGCTGTGACATACCTGTACTGGTTGTGGGTTAGGAATGTATAGCTGTGACATACCTGTACTTGTTGTGGGTTGGGAATGGATAGCTTGACATGCCTGTACTGTTTGTGGGTTAGGAATGGATAGCTGTGACATACCTATACTGGTTTTGGGTTAGGAATGGATAGCTGTGACATACCTGTACTGTTTGTGGGTTAGGAATGGATAGCTGTGACATGCCTGTACTTGTTATGGGTTAGGAATGGATAGCTGTGACATACCTGTACTTGTTGTGGGTTAGGAATGGATAGCTGTGACATGCCTGTACTTGTTATGGGTTAGGAATGGATAGCTCTGACATACCTGTGCTGGTTGTGGGTTAGGAATGGATAGCTGTGACATACCTATACTGGTTATGGGTTAGGAATGGATAGCTGCTTCTTTGGTTGTCTAGCACATAGGAACTAATACAACTGCGCTTCTTTGGTTGTCTAGCACATAGGAACTAATATAGCTGAGCTTCTTTGGTTGTCTAGCACATAGGAACTAATACAGCTGAGATTCTTTGGTTGTCTAGCACATGGAAACTAATACAACTGAGCTTCTTTCATATAATGTGTAACTTATTTTAGTGATAGACATCTCCATTAAATGTTTATATTTTTGTGTGGAAACTAAATCTCAAGTGAATGAAGTCACTAACAACTAACCCACGAAAAACGGTCTCAAGTACTATACCTACTATGGCTTCACTGAACCAGATCATTATCAACTAACACACAAACAAAAAAAGCCCCAACTAACAAGACTGCTATAGTTTTATAGAATAAAAATCACCAACAACTAATACAAGAAATATAACCTCAACTATCGTCTCTGCTGTATTTTCATTGAACCAAATAACAAACATTTAAGTCACAGCAGAGTCTTATCTACTATTTCTGCTATGGTTTCATCAAGAAAAAATCATTATCAACAAGAAAACTGTCTTTATTCTCACTACTGGATATGTTCTCATGGTGAAGGAAGAGGCTCAAATGACTCATTACTGGCACCTCTTCCAGTAGAGTGGAATTAGTTACAACAGGTTTGTGAATCTGGTGAACACCACATGGAGAGAGTCATTCTACAGCTTAGTGGCACAGCTATCCATTCCTAACCCACAACCAGCACAGGTATGTCACTTCAGCTATATTAGTTCCTATGTGCTAGACAACCAAAGAAGTTCAGCTGTATTAGTTTCCATGTGCTAGACAACCAAAGAAGTTCAGCTGTATTAGTTTCCATGTGCTAGACAACCAAAGAAGTTCAGCTGTATTAGTTTCCATGTGCTAGACAACCAAAGAAGTCAGCTATATTAGTTCCTATGTGCTAGACAACCAAAGAAGTTCAGCTGTATTAGTTCCTATGTGCCGGACAACCAAAGAAGTTCAGCTGTATTGGTTCCTATGTGCTAGACAACCAAAGAAGCTCAGCTATATTAGTTCCTATGTGCAACACAACCAAAGAAGCTCAGCTGTATTAGTTCCTATGTGCTAGACAACCAAAGAATCTCAGCTATATTAGTTCCTATGTGCTAAACAACCAAAGAAGTTCAGCTGTATTAGTTCCTATGTGCTGGACAACCAAAGAAGTTCAGCTGTATTAGTTCCTATGTGTTAGACAACCAAAGAAGCTCAGTTGTATTAGTTCCTATGTGCTAGACAACCAAAGAAGTTCAGCTGTATTAGTTCCTATGTGCTACACAACCAAAGAAGTTCAGCTGTATTAGTTCCTATGTGCTAGACAACCAAAGAAGCTCAGCTGTATTAGTTCCTATGTGCTAGACAACCAAATTGTTTGAATTAGGGTGTCAGATTTTTAATTATCTAAAGGAGTGGTAGTTTTTGAACTAAACCTAATTGCTTTAAACTGGGGAGAGGTTTCTTGTATATTCAGGAATAAGATGTTATTATCAACCAGTTACATGTGGTTACTGATATATACAGTTATTATCAGACAATTAAATGTTATTACTGATACATTCACTGGTAATATTTTGTAAATTTATAAAAAATATAATGTTATTAAGCACTAAAATGTGGTTACTGTCTTCCCACCTAGTTTTAAAACATTTAATCTAGCAACCACTGTTTTAAAATGTTTCATGTAGCACCCACCCTGTTTTGAAATGCTATTCTAGCACCTGCTCAGTTTTAAAATGTTTCATGTAGCACCCACCCTGTTTTGAAATGTTATTCTAGCACCTGCTCAGTTTTAAAATGTTTCATGTAGCACCCACCCTGTTTTGAAATGTTAATCTAGCACCCACTCAGTTTTAAAATGTTTAATCTGTTTGATTATTTTAAGTACTGTACATCTCTATTTGGTATACTACAACCATATAATATTACAAAGTATAGTTCCATTCAAATTATTATGTTCTTTTTTTCAGCCTTCAGCAATTTTTTTCACCTGTATGGACAGTCGAATATCACCTTCACAGTTCACGCAGACTGAGGTCGGAGATATGTTTGTTGTTCGAAATGCGGGAAATTTGGTTCCCAGCTCCAATCATCAGTCAATGGACTTCTTTAGCAATGAACCTGCAGCAATGGAACTAGCCTGTGTCTTGACTGGTGTTAGACATGTTGTGATATGTGGTCATTCTGACTGTAAGGTATTCATAGAATTAGTACACTACATTAATTGTAGAGTGTACGTAGCTAGTATATCAACACAGTATGGGATCATTCTGACTGTAGGGTGTTGATAAAGTTAGAACATTAACATTATATATGGTCATTCTGACTGTAGGGTATTGATAAAGTTAAAACATCTATATACTACTAAAACTCTGAGATTGTTTGTTTGTTTGTGTGCTTGTCTCTAATTAAATACAGCTGAGACGGCACACAATACCACCATATTTGTAATGAAATGAGAATAGAAACAGAATAAAACAAGTTTAGTTAAAATTGGGCCACAGGTTACCAAGTTAGCGCCGTTTTTCGTGTCACTTTTATGAAACTTTCTAGCATGAGTAATTTTACATCACACCGTTCTCGCTCTTTACGAAACTTCTTCATTCAAATCTATTTTCCTGTCAATGTTACCATCTTCATTAAAAGGTGAAGATGACAAGAACAAGATCTTGAAGAATTTCTCAATAATGTGCCTTGGTTATGGTAGGTAATTCGAAGAAAAAATAAAGTTTTACTGTTTCTTATTTGTAGAAGGTTTATGAGGAAAGACCACAACATAATGAACTAATTC